GGTCCCTTGGCGCAGACAGATCGGGCCAACCGTAGGGCCAGTACAATTCGCATGTGTCTGTGCCTCGCGTGTGTTCGTGTGACCGGTGTGTTGCGTCCGGATTGGATGAGATCTGAGAGTGAATGGTTCGTGTACTGATTGTCGAGCTCATTGACCATTGAGATTGCGGGATTTCGGATCGATAGGCCGGCGAGATGCGTGTGATGATTTGTATATATTGTAGCGCGTGGTTGTAGATTGTGTTCACGCTTTTCTGGCATAGCGTAAATATGAGCGGTCGTGGTAAAGGCGGTAAATCACGTGCGAAGGCCAAGACACGGTCAGCCCGTGCTGGTTTGCAATTCCCGGTTGGTCGTGTGCACCGTTTGCTGCGCAAAGGTAACTATGCGGAGCGTGTTGGTGCCGGTGCCCCGGTCTACTTGGCTGCAGTGCTTGAGTATTTGGCCGCTGAGGTGCTCGAGCTTGCGGGCAACGCTGCTCGTGACAACAAGAAGACTCGCATAATCCCTCGCCATTTGCAGTTGGCCATCCGTAACGACGAGGAGTTGAACAAGCTTCTTGGCGGTGTGACCATTGCCCAGGGTGGCGTGTTGCCGAACATCCAGGCTGTCCTTCTGCCGAAGAAGACTGATAAGCCGAAGGCCTAAGCGACATGAAGAAGAACAACGCTCGCTAGAGAACGTGAAACCGGCCCTTTTCAGGGCCACTACATTGTGATTGTTTTTCTTTTTGCACTTCGCCTGTCCCGGTTTTACGTGTGCTGTGTTGGGTGGTGGTTTTGTCTTGGTTAATCCCTCGGGTTTGAGGCTTTTGTGCTTCCGTTGCTCCGGTGTTTCCGCTGGTTCCCCAGTTTGGCGGTGAGTGCTTGCTTGGGAAGTAGTCTGTGGAATGGCAATTAATTTGGCCTTATGAGACTTGGGGTTTTCGGGCTGCACGACGGAACGGAGAGCTGTCCTTGGTATACACGAGAGGGTTCATCATAAAATCCCTTCGAGTGTTTGTTTTATTGTTGCTCACAACATGTTTTTGTCCGGATGTTGTAGTCTTGAATCGCAATCCATCTCTGGCTGCTTAGAAGTATATGGGTACATTTGATGATCGGCTGACTGCATTCGAATTATGAGGCGGACGATACCGGTTGATGTTCAACCGATGTTTCCTACGGGCGTCTGCGCTATTTCTTTCCTTTGTCCCTACAACGGAGATCTTTGGGTCCATAGTGTCAGAAACGAACGACGTTCGGAGTGTATCGAAAAGTCGATGCGCCATTTGGTATGTTTTACATGGATAACAGCGCTTTCACAATTTCGACTGTTGAATCGCCGTGATCAGTGTTAGCCACGGTAACCGAGGCATGGGCTTATTTTCACCTGTACCGACATGTATGTTTTCAAAATTACAAATTATATGAGATCACTGACTATTCGTGTAATCAAATTGTGGTACATAATATCGGAGTTTGTTTCTCGTTGTTTGAGCTGAGTCACCGCGAGACGTAGTGAATATAGAGTGCCAGAGGGCTAGGTTTATAGTGTAGGTGGTTCAGTTAATCGTTGTCTGCGGTCACCTAGTCAGCACGCTGTTGTCCGGTCGTGCACCGAATGGTAATACAGTGACTACGTCTGCTCACTGGTATTGTTCGATAAATTGGGTTCCCCTGGTTGGCGGTGAGCGCTTGCTTGGAAGTAAGTAATTTGGTAATTATGTTCGCCAAAACCGTGAGAGGATGTTGGGGTTTTCGGACTGCACGACAGAGTGGGTAACTGTATTGCTGCCTTCGGGTATACCCGACAGAATTCATCGGAAGACACCTGACGCCTGGTCGGTGATATCCCGGCGAGTGCTCGTTTACTTGTTACTTGCCGCAAGGGGTTATTGTCCACATGCTAAACTCGCAATCCAGCTCGGGCTACTTAAGAATGCATGGCTACTTTCGATGATCGGCCGACTGCGTTCGACTTATGAGAGCGAAAGACGCCGGTCAGTCGTGGGGTTCGAAGTTTTCTTTCTTTGGAGATATCACATCTGAAGTCTCTCGGTTAAGTACCCAACCGTTTCTGCTGTGTAACTGTCATTGGAGGCGAAACGTTGATGTCCCGCGAATGTTCCCTACGAACGTCTGCACAATTTTTCTAGTCTCCCTACCACGGAGTATTTGTGTGATCAAAGTTTGGATAGCTGGGAATTTGGTGCATTGCTAGTTTGTGATAAGCGAAACTTCCCGCAGTGCTCCGCGATCACAGTCACATTGGATGATGGTTCCACCGCAATTTGAATCTAATCCGAAAGAACTTTTCCCTGGTTGGCAGGTTGAAGACGACGTGATCGCTTAATATTCCCAATAGGTTGATGCCAGCGGAGCAGGAAACATGACGAATGAAAATGTCAAGTCAATAAACGCTCATATGCGCATAGTATGGATTTTCGGCAGTTTACAAACTAGTTAAGTGGATATAGGAAATATCACGATCAACAAAAATGAAATGAATAATGTGGTAAAAAGTGAGCATTTAATGCAACAGTCTTGTACAGAGATCAGTGACCACTGTCCTACGATTGACCAGGAGCTGGGCAGTGCACGGGATTACGCTGTTGCTGTACGCGGAAGTGCGTGGAAAAACGAGTTGATATTTGGAGCGCGATCCGGCTTTGTTCGTAAGGCAAAGAGAGCTGGTCATGGGAAAACGTAGAAAAACCGGTAAAGGGGAGAAAGAGCTGGGCCGAGTTCTCAGGGGAAAAACATGAAGCGGGTCGGGAATGAAAGCGGCATATTCACATGTAATCAAAGGGTTATCAGGCATAGAAGTAGGGAGGTGGAACAAATCGAACGCAGGTCCTCCGGCGTGATAAGCTGACGAACTTGACATCGTGCCCAACACAGCAAGGTCCGCAGAGTAAGCAGACACCATAATAATTATGGTATCCTGATTTGAGTAATCGAACTGCTCCACCGCCGCCCGTCTCTCCAGACAGCCTTTGTATGGCCGCAGTTCCTCTTATTGAATTTTCAGTGTACCTTTATATGTTCAATGAATTTTTCTGCTCTACCTGAATTCCATCTACATGAGTAGGCCCGCGTCGAAGACCACCGTGTGCGAATGTATCAACGACCACGTGCGAAGTTTTCGATCTACATTTAACAAACAGCCATTTGTAAATAGTGGTGTTCTGGAGGTTGGCTGATTATCCTTCGAACTTCAGCTTCATACTCAAGCATCGTATCATCCAATCAACTGAAAAGTGGACAGGCACCACAACCGCTTCGACCACTCACCATTCATTGAGGTACCATATATCGAACAAAACGGACCCACGCAATATGTGGGTGAAAACGATACCCCATTGTAACTCCTATGACCCTTTACCATTTGCTTATAAACCCCATTTATCCACACTTGGTGCCTTTGCTCAAATTTTTCATTCTGTTGCTTCCGTCCTAGACAATGGCGCTGGTGTGTGGTCTTACTCCTGAAGTCTTGAATGTACTAATCAACTACCTCTCCCGTAGAACCCAGTTTACTTCACTCAATCGTGTTCAGTCTTCTATTAACGTTGAAGCCGGTGTTTTTCCAGGGTGCAGTTTTCTTTCTATTTATATACAAAAACTCTCCATTCTCACCAAATTTATTGCTTGTGAGTATGCTGATGATATTGTGATTGGTTGCCCAGCCCAAACAGTTTTTGACCTCTCCAGGACAGTCCTAATGAACTTCACGATTGGTCTGTAATTTAACATCACAAAGTACACTGAAGTTCCATTTAGTCTTAAAACCGGGGCCCGTTATCTTTCATTAGTTATTAATCTCCCTGATATTACAGTTAACAATCAGAGCGCTCCATGGTCTGTTTCTGGTAAATACTTTGGTGTCACCCTTACCCATAACCTGTCCTGGTTTGCTCACAACATCAACGTTTTCACAAAATACCAGAAAGCCCTAACGACGCGCCAGCAACCGGTGGACAAAAAATCTCATCAGTCTGGTGATACAAATCACCGTCGAAAAGTGAAACAACGAGCGAGCTGACAGGGCATGACGCATAACGACGCAGTGACCAATCCAACAGATATGTCCCTCGAGATATATTACCAAATACATGATAGTGATTGCGATACAGTGTCATCAATCACATTCAAAATAACCCCAATTCACAGATCACCTCAAACATCAAAACACTAAACCACCCTCGTTTGACCATCTGACCATTGGGACAACCAGAACGAAACCTGCTGCTCTACCACAGAGCATTCGTCAGGCTACTAATGTTTCCCACTACAAATAAACACAAGTGCAACATCAACGCATCCGTGATTGTGCTCAATAAGTCATTTAATCACTCTCCAGAACCACGGTTGTGGAGTAAACGTTCGGATACGTCTGCGATCGACCGGACTTGATCAGCAAGATGCTGACCCCAAACCGGTCTCCTTCTCTCGGTCGCACTTGGCGGGCAAAGTGAGACAAAGCAAAGCCGGTCAGAATCGTTCAGAGCGCAATGAAGAGTGAATGCTGGTGTGTGCGTGCGTGTGTTTGTTGTGTGGTTTTCGACCTATCTCGTGCACGCACTGGTGTCTCGTTCGTCCGATTGGTGATATTTGGGTTGTGATTGGTCGTAATGTTGACGAACGCGCGTGGAACGGTCGTGGATCGATAAATCCAAGGATAGACAAATGTGTGATTGTGTTTGTAATATAAATAGAGAAGTTCGTGGTGGGACGATCGAGTGCGTTGCTCTACCGTCATGGCTCCTAAAGTCGTATCTGGCAAAGCTGCAAAGAAGGCTTCCAAAGTGAAGACCCCTAAGGTGGACAAGAAGAAGAAGAGGAGGAGGAAGGAGAGCTATGCGATCTACATCTACAAGGTGTTGCGCCAGGTTCATCCCGATACCGGTATCTCCTCGAAGGCGATGTCGATCATGAACTCGTTTGTGAACGATATTTTCGAGCGTATTGCCGCCGAGTCCAGCCGTCTTGCCCACTACAACAAGCGGTCAACCATCACGAGCAGAGAAATCCAAACTGCTGTTCGTCTATTGCTGCCCGGTGAACTTGCGAAGCACGCCGTTTCTGAGGGCACGAAGGCGGTGACCAAGTACACTAGCACCAAGTAAAGAGCTTTACTTGATGGAGTAGAGAACGCTTCCACGGCCCTTTTTAGGGCCACAACAAACTGATTTGTCTCCCTCGTTGTTGATGCTTCTATTGTTTTGTCTTTGGATGATAGGGTTGGGAGTTTGTCTGCTGAATTTGGGGGTGCTGTTGCTTTTCTGACTACCTAGGCCGCAGTTTGTAGGTTTGGTCGGTGTTGACAGTTTTCGGCTTCATGCTCGCTCTGCATGGTTGACGCGTACCGCGGTTTATCGCAGTCGATTGCTCCGTATGTGGGGAGCATGCCGTGCGCCATCGCCGTCTCTGTTCTTTCCGGATTTTGTTGCTCCCAAACCTAATGGGGCTCTCCCGTACGGTCGAACGTTGCGTGCTTTGTTTTAGATGTGGGTTTGTTCGTGTTGGTCTACTGGGCGCCGATCGCGCCATGGCTTTGTGAGTACCCGTCGGGCAGCGGGTGTTTTTCGTTGGGTTCAGGGTACGGCTGGAACATGTGAATACAATTTGTTTTACCGCATGGATTCCTCACGATAGCTTTGTATTCTCTTATCTTCGCCGTATATACCCTGGTCAATTTTCTATTCTGAAATTCACAAATCGCCTTTATACTGTTGATCATGTTTATTGAACAGACGCTTGAGGTGTTTTGCGCGGTCTAAAGTATGACTGCTTTATATATTTGTGACTGTTATCAAAGTATTGAATTAAAGTATTCATGTCATGATAAAGTTGGGTGACGCGTTGCTCTGAGGCCTGCTCACCGCTATCCAGAACGAGCGAATAGTTGTTCGACTAGGCGAAAATTGTCCGGGTCTTTCGATTTCGCTCTGACCATAATAGCGTTTCGGTAGTTTGGGGACCCTAATATGCCAATCACTTGGAGCGCTGATTCTGTCACAACACGGGAGAGAGGAACTCGGCAAGTACTTTGTTGAGTAATTTTTCTGTTCATCCAGTCAATCACCTTAGTGGCATTTGAGAAAAAATGCGTTTTTATGGTTGAATACAGATTTATTTGTATGATGATGTATTTGGCATGACTGCGATNGTATTGAATTAAAGTATTCATGTCATGATAAAGTTGGGTGACGCGTTGCTCTGAGGCCTGCTCACCGCTATCCAGAACGAGCGAATAGTTGTTCGACTAGGCGCAAAATTGTCCGGGTCTTTCGATTTCGCTCTGACCATAATAGCGTTTCGGTAGTTTGGGGACCCTAATATGCCAATCACTTGGAGCGCTGATTCTGTCACAACACGGGAGAGAGGAACTCGGCAAGTACTTTTGTTGAGTAATTTTTCTGTTCATCCAGTCAATCACCTTAGTGGCATTTGAGAAAAAATGCGTTTTTATGGTTGAATACAGATTTATTTGTATGATGATGTATTTGGCATGACTGCGATTCACTGAAAACGAGCTTGTTCGCCACTCCTTGTTCTGTTTGAAAAAATGAAGCATTAGATGGAGTAACTTCAAGAGAAGCAGAGGAGCTAACTACCAGCAGTGCGACAAGATTTGAAGACTGTAAAGCTGGCAGGGAAAATGGGGTATAATTTGTCTATGCGTTCTATAACGAGTGAGGAGGGAGACGGTCGTGTGTTGCGATGTGTTGAGAAACATTCAGTATTGGATACTGTGGAGGCCGGGTTTGGCGGGCCAGAGAGAGAGTGAGAGCAAACGTCCACATAATGCCTCATTACTGTGAGTCTGGGATTACCTAGAGTAAAACTTCTATTCCTAAATGGACGACTCTCAATGTACTGTTGATTCAACTGGCAATTTCAAATATACATGGCCTCAAAGACCGCTGGTATAGAATAAATTTTATACAAGTGAACGTGCTGAAAATGATATAGATGCTTTGAGGTTCCTGAGGAATATCAAATGACAGCTCATCCGTTTGGGCGATGCGCTTCTAGTTCGTGAACCACGTGTTGAGCCTAATCAGTCACCGGAAGTTCGTAGGCACCGATGCTGACCCACGCTGTCTGTAATGTGAGTATCGATCGGTTTCAGTATGCAAGAGCAACAACAAAAACTAACAAACGAGTGGATGTCCACATGCACCACGGTGCTCATTTTTCAATAGGAAACGTTTTCAAGCGAACAACGACAGTTGGAATATCTTCGGGTGTTTATCTGCTGAATGTACGGGCGCTGTGTTTGCTACATGGGCGGTGTTTCGGGCTTTGGCTGGTGCTGACGGTTTCGCTTTCAATCTCGTGTCTTATGGGTAATTCCTGTCATTGTTGGTTTTACTCGTTGGCTATCGCCATGCCTGTTCTTACCGGGTTTTCTTGCCGCCGTACCCGATACTGCATTAAGCGCTCCCGTACATTCGTACATTGCAGGCCAACTTCTGATACGAGTAAACTTGGTCGTCAGGCCGTGTACGATGGCTGCGCAGGTTGGATGGAGCCCCAGCGTATCATGCTTTTCTGATTACTATCTAAATAGTACCGTAGATCATTCATGGAACGGCTTGGTTCACGATGCATTTGGGTTACGCGTTGCTTTGAGGTTTGCTACCCAGAACGAGCCACTGAATGGAAATAGTCCGGGTCTTTTGGTTTCGCTCGCACCAGGACAATCGCGTTTTGGTCGCTACAATACCCTGACTTACCTGATCACCTGGAGCATGAATTAAGCAAACAACGGCGTAGAAGGTACTATCTCAATTCTCGTGCGCTCGCATGAGCATTTAGGTTCTGCGGATTACACCAACCAGATCAGTTTGAAATGATTGCGGCACCTAATGCTGCGAATCTGATCGTCGGAATACGGATGAAGAACCTGTTAACCGTTGACGTGGCTGAACAGTGGCTGGTCCGGACAGAGTTTGAAGAACTTCTCTCTGCAGACCGACAATTTTTAGTACTGCATTGATGGATCATGTGGCGGGTCACCGGTTGGTGGAGAAGGCGAAATTAGTTGCGTGGGTGCCTTGAGCTCCGAAGATCGACATTCGAAAGTGCACGTAGTGTTTGGAGCGTGAAATCATGGTTGCTTTGATAAACATTTCATTCCACATAGATGGAAATTGTTAGCGTTGATTTGCTTATTTCTCACGAGCATTTTCGTCAGTTGTACTGCCCACCTAAAAGCGTTGTATACGATGAATCACGGACAAAACACCATCCATTTCTGGATATGTGAACTAACTGCCTCTTCGTTTTTATGAAGCGTCACATTCTTCAAATCGGATTTGATTAACCCGTAAAGCATGTGTGAGACAAGATGATCAGCAAGGTAGTTCTGATTTATTCAGCTTGATATACGCCAATGTTTACTTCACTGAAACGTAATGGAGAGACTACTAGTACATGTGAACAGACTGTTGAAATAGCCTAATCGCTCGATTGGTGAACCAGAACATATTATTCGTCAGCTTCATTGGTCAAAGTTTTCCCTAGACTTCCCTGGACCTAAACAAATACGTTTCATTTCCATGAAAACTTTCGTGAATCTTGGACACATACAGATTCGGCGTGGTCCTCAAACCCGATCCTAAGTGCAACTTCAAGTCATTCTTGTACTCACAGTCTTACAATGCATTCTGGCTTATCTCACCACAATTTTCTACCAGTTGTATTCAGTATCACCCCACTATTTTCCATACTACGATTAATTTCATCATTTCCGATCTACAAGGGATGAATGTGTGCCTATATGACATATACTATTGATCATTCTCCTTGCAGACATTTACACGAACAACGTTTCTGTGCTTTGCTTGAAAGATTTCATTTCGCCAATGTTGCTGCTAACCCCGAGAAGTATACCTATACAATGACCAAACTTTCATGTTTCGGTTATTTGGTTCATGATTGTGAATTCCAGTCTGATCCTCGTAGATTTTCTTCATTACCGAATGCTCCATATCTACATCATTCGGTGAACCTCAGTCCCCAATTGGTTCTTTACAAACTATTCTCCGTTTGTTCCCAATTTTCAACTCCAGATGTCCCAGATACGTAATCACAACTTCAGCATCGCTTCCCGATCGTATCCAATGCCTGCTTGATTCGAACTGGCAGATGTGGCTATATCATTTCCGAATTTGTTTTAAACTTTGTGAAAATGATTGCGAATTGTTGTGCCATGCATTGGTTAGTTGAAGGGCGTTCGTGATTGGTTTACGAACGAGCAGGCAAAGCTACCACCACTTTTGCATTCGCGGACGCACCGTCTATTCGCGGTCCGCTAGCCGTTTAATACCGCACAATGGAAACACAATGCACGTGAGCCCTATTTTCTCATATGAGCCGGACAAAAACTCTTGCAGCTATCCCGTTTGCACAGCTTTCGGTCTCGTGAGAATAGGAGGAATTTATGTAGTAGGGGATAGTTACGATTCGTGTGCAGAACAGATTTCAGATATCAGCAGTATTGTCGAGTTAATCATCCCAGTAATTTTACTTTGGATAAATTGCCTCAGATGTAATAACCAAAACTTTTCGTCGCGGTCTGAAAGTGGTCCAAATGATAGAAAAGATTGCGTCGTTCTGAGTAACACCATACAGTTGAGCAACGCGTAGCGGAAACTCAAGAACATGAATAAACATAAACTCCGAATGCCGGGTTCGAATGGGAATTTTTACATTTGATGTAGAGACCAGAAATCGACCATTATTGTTCATTGCTCGTTTTGCCTCCAATAGACTTCGTTTTATTACTTTTCTGCAACCAAATGTGATATCAAATTTTGTCCAACTATTCTCGAAGTAACATATTCCGATATTCTTCCCGAAACATCGTATCATTTCATTTGCTTGACAGAAATACGGGATGATGACACAACAATGTGTAGACTTCATATTCTGATGGAACAATCACGAACGTGTTACTACTAATCCATGCCGTCTGATGTCGGCATTTGAAAATAGGTGTTCAATATGACCTACAATTGTTGTTATACGATATCAGAGCGACGGAATATCGGGAGCTGTTCCATTATTAGATCAACGTACAAACGAGTTGAACTGATCATTCTTCAAACGTCACCTT